TTTGAAATTTATAACTAGTATATAACTAATAATAGAGTGGAGCGGAACCTACTGCCTCCGCACGCATACACTTTCCACGCGAAACGAAGTGCCACATGGGTTTACAACTTTCCACGCGTGGAAAGTCCACGCATGTACTTTGAAGGCACACTATGTGTCTAGTTTAATAATAGTGGAGCCCCCCGCAGGAGGGCGGAATCTACTACCTCTACGCATACACTTTCCACGCGAAACAAGTTTGCAATAAACGCCTTATGTTCAGCTATATTTGTTATATTTGAGAAATTATTTTTCGGCGAGATATTTAGTCGCGAGATATTATGTCGGTGAGACATTTTGTCCGAGATATTTTGTCGGATATATTTTGTCCGATATCAATTGTTACGCAGCCCTTATCTCTACCTCCGCTCATTGCACGACAAATATCATTCGACTGAACGTCAATTATATATGATAAAAATAACATTGGAAATAATTTCGGCAGGAATCGCGCGGAACGCTTATTTTACGTTGTCAAAAACGAGGCGCCGTATGATTTAATTCAAAAGTCACAAAGTTACGGGAACATAGCCGTTTTTATACGGCTGCATTACAACATTATACAGTTTGTATTTTTCTTTTATATAATACACGATATCTAATGCATCAGCATGTTAATATATTTTTCAACAAGTAATATGTGTATAACAAAACAGATTTACACTGTGCTTTGCAAGAAGATTTGAAAAATAACAATGGGTAATTACATTATAGTGCCTCTTCACGCGTCACTCTGATTACGATAGATAGATCCCATGTAAGGTTGTCAACTTGGCCAAACATTGTGCCAATCTGGAACATCAGTACCCCGATATGAGTAAAGATGATTGGCCAAGTGGTGGCCGAACCTTGGAGCGTAACTATCGCGCGAGATTGGCAACCGATATAAGCCCAAAGTTTGGTTCTTCGATGGACCAATCTTGGGCCAAACACTGGCTTTATTTATGTATGCCAAAGTAGGTTCGTCTATGTTGACCCAATATCGGTCTTGAAATTAAAATTACCAATGTTGGCGACAAGATTTTTGGCCGAATATTGGCCGAATTTAGGCGCCTAACTTTGGATATGCGATAACGCACCATACAATGGCCACGTTGCCAACCTCGGCAAACCCTACATGGGATTTCAACCAAGAAGAATCAATTATTAGCATTAAATCAGATAATATAAATATTGTATTGGCTTCGCTAGATGTTTCTCCTATTTTGTCTCTATAAATAAATCGACAGATTTATATTTAGATTTCATTAATTCTTTATCGACAAAATAATCTGATAATTACAAAACTGACCACTGCCATATTCCCAATTATAAATGTACGTTAACGTTGTTAATTATTTTACATGCAAAAAATATTCTTTGCCTTATTACTTTAACACGTATGATTTTTTTTCACCTTACAAGATTCGTTGATATAATCGAGACTTGTCATACAGTACAGTTTCTAGTGGATCTCACTGGAATAGTGATTTTGATGAGTCTTACGTTAATCCAGGTATGTTGATTGCGGAAATGTGTCGGACGTCTCCAAGTATTATCCAAGCGTTAAAACGAAGTCTTTCAGGTACTAACAATCTCCAGTAACGGTTTCGAACGAACTTTTAGATCTACCAGTGTTGCCGTTGCAGGACTGAGTTATACATTCATGTCCTGTTATATGGGACAAAGAGTCACGGATATGAGTTCGAGTATATGTGAGAAAATGTGAGTATATAGGTCTCTTTAATAATATATTTACGAGTATATCTTGCACTGCAATATTCGAAATAATAATAAAACATGACAATGCAAACCTTTTGTCTACCCAACACGAAGAGAGCAATACTGAAACATTTATTGAAAGAATGAGAAAATTTCTTTGGACTTATTCGCGCAGCGTTTTTTTCCTCAAAAATATGTGCGATAAATGTATTATTATATATTTACGCATTATGTAAATTTACGAGACATACAAAATATCAGATAGGATATAGATTTCGTTGCAGTAGATAGGATATTACAATGAAAAAA